ATGATTTCTTCTCCACTATAGGTCAAAACCTTGCCAATAATATCCCAAGCTCAGATACCCCACCAAATGACTACCTCACTGGCAACTACCCGAACACACTGTTCCTAGCTCCGACTAACCCATACGAAGTCTCCCTTATTATCAACGCACTGAAAAACAAGGCAGGAGATTTAAATACCTTACCACCCTTTATATACAAAAAAGCGTCACAAGTACTATCACCGATCATTGCAACACTCTTTAACAAATCCATTGAATCCTCCACCTTCCCTACAGTTCTCAAAATAGCAAGGGTCACCCCAATCCATAAAGGAGGAGACCAAACAGAGTTGAATAACTATAGGCCAATATCCAATTTACACCCTCTCTCAAAAATCTTCGAAAAATTAATTCATAAATGAATCCACTCCTACCTCATCTCCCATAACATTCTCAACCCCTGCCAATTTGGATTCAGGCCTAATAAAAATACTAATGATGCTATTATACACATGCTAGAACATATATACACTGCAATAGAGAAAAAAGAAGTCCCACTAGGGATCTTCATTGACTTACGTAAAGCTTTTGATACAGTTGACCATGACTTGCTCCACGTAAAATTGTCACACTATGGTATTAGAGGGCACTCCCTCAACTACCTCAAGTCTTACCTCAGCAACAGAAGCCAATATGTGTACGCAAATGGGGCAAGCTCTTCCGCACAACCAATTACAGTTGGTGTCCCACAGGGAAGTGTCCTTGGCCCTCTTCTCTTTCTCCTATACATAAATGACCTACCAAATGCTTCGCAATTACTCAAACCCACACTTTTTGCAGATGACACCACATACGTCTTCTCTCACCCGAGCCCAGTCACGCTAGCCAATACTGTAAACACCGAATTACAGAAAATATCTACCTGGATGAGGACTAACAAACTTACACTAAACATTGACAAAACCTACTTCATTCAGTTTGGTAGCAGAGCTACAGATGTACCTCTTAACATAACGATAAACGGATCACCTATCACAAAACTAACAGAGGGAAAATTCTTAGGAATCCACCTTGATAATAGACTCAAATTTCATACACATATACAACAAATTTCTAATAAAATTTCCAAGACTGTAGGCATACTATCGAAGATACGGTACTATGCTCCAGTCAGCCCTCCTGGCCCTTTATCACTCTCTTATTTACCCCTATCTCACCTATGGAATTTGTGCATGGGGCTCAACAACAATTAACCATCTCAGACCACTAATTACCCAACAAAAGGCTGCAGTTAGAATGATAACAAATTCTCACTACAGGCAGCACACTCCACCAATATTCAAAACACTCAACCTACTCACCATACAGAACATCCATACTTATTATTGCACTTATTACATACATAGAACACTTAACTCTGATATTAACCCTCCCCTCAAACATCTTGCCAACCTCAACAGAACACATGACCATAATACAAGGCACAGATCACTCTTTGATGTTCCTCGTGTCCATCTCACACTGTGCAAAAACTCAATGCACATAAAAGGCCCTAAAATCTGGAATTCATTACCTGTAAATATAAAAGAAACAATACCTGTTTATAAATTCAAGTCTCTTCTTAAAGTTCACTTACTCACCCAATACCAAATAAATACTGAATAACTGAACCATATAAATTGTATATTGTAATGTTACTCACAATTATATCATACAAATGCTAAACCTAACTTTGTTATTTTTTTTAAATACACTACCTAACAGAATACTCCATTCTACTGAATGAACAGCAATGCAAGCAACCATAGGACCTGTCTTTGTAATACTCACTTGTGCTTTATAGTTATCTGTTTACAATAATGTCTTATCACTGATTTCATCATTGCTTAGTTAATCTTAAGTTAATTTTAAGCCAGCCCGTAATGCTATGCATATAAGTGGCTTTGGCATGCTGCTCTTACCTGTATTTTTTGTACCTCTGTTTGTATGCTAAAATTTCTAAATAAATAAATAAATAAATAAATCTAGTTACTCCTCCCAGCAAGGACGCAACCCTCACCACACACTATTGTTGGGTTTATCAGGGCCACTGACAGCATAAGCCGTATCCAGCCTGACTTCTCGATGGCACGAAGAACATTTGTTGCCCAAGGCTGGGCGAAACAAAAGGAACAAAGGTTCCTTGGTAAATAGAGATAGAAACTTGAAAGTTTCCAATTAGATCCGGTGGACTCCTTGCCAAGCCCCAACAGAGGGACGCTTACACTCCCACCTGAGTTCAGTAACCGGCTTTCCCCCAAAGACCGTTAAAGAATTTTCCGCAGAGCGGGAAAAAATGGAGCTGGTTAAAGTAAGCCGATAAACAGGCACCACTCCTGTAGAGTGCCCAGCTGGCAAAATAGACGAGGACAAGCGTCCCAAAGAGAAGGGTGGATATTCGTCACTATATATCAAAAATGGCCGCCACCCCAAACAAAGAATAAAGATTTTATTTCTTTGTAAAGGTTACAATGTGTAATTACAATTTTGGTTTGCTAAGTACAAAGAAAGTCACTGTCATGCCGGGGCATTTCCGGCAGACTAATTCTAGTATATAATAACTACTTAAATCTAGGTAAGACACATATGCAACAGTTAGGTATCTGTATCTGTATCTAATTGTTGCATATGTGTCTTAAGAGATAAGATAAGATAAGATTTCGTTCGGATTTTTAACCCCGGAGGGTTAGCCACCCAGGATAACCCAAGAAAGTCAGTGCGTCATCGAGGACTGTCTAACTTATTTCCATTGGGGTCCTTAATCTTCTCCCCCAGGATGCGACCCACACCAGTCGACTAACACCCAGGTACCTATTTGCTGCTAGGTGAACAGGACAACAGGTGTAAGGAAACGTGTCGAAATGTTTCCACCCGCCGGGAATCGAACCCGGGCCCTCCGTGTGTGAAGCGGGAGCTTTAGCCACCAGGCCACCGGGCCACCATAACACCTAACAACCTGTCGGTATTTTATACCATTTTAATGTTTACTTAAATCTAGACAAGATAAGTGGTTAACTTTTATTAAAATTTTATTTAATCTTAATATTAATGCGAGGTAGTCCAGGTGGAGGTTTATCTTGACGTTGCATATAATAATAATAAATAATAATAATAATAATAATAATAATAATAATAATAATCTATGATAACATGAACATAGATAAGTATATCTATGGAGCAACTTGGAATGTTAACAGACTGATATAGTGGCCAGGCTTAGGCTTGGTTACAAGTACTTCTGGCAGTTTGGGAGACACACACATGATCATCAGGTAAGATAAGATAAGATTTCGTTCGGATTTTTAACCCCGGAAGGTTAGCCACCCAGGATAACCCAAGAAATGTGCAAGAATGGTATATAATACCGACAAGATGAAATTAAGACACATGTGCAACATCTGGGTATGAAATTAAGACACATGTGCAACATCTGGGTATCTTTATTGTAGACGTTTCGCCATCCAGTGGCTTTATCAATACAAATTCTAGGACAACTTGAAGACAGTAAGACTATGTACAGAAGATGAGGTAATCAGTCCCTCAATCTTTGAGTAGGTGCGAAGAGCACCGTAGTCGTGGAGATTCTGAAGCAGAAGCATTATTATTATTAAAGATTCGCCGGTATTCTCCCGGCCCGGGCCTTTTCCAAGTGGTGGCCCGGCCTTGGCTCCCTCTTTAGGGAGTGTCTGAGACCTAAGTCTCCCATGGGAGGAGGCACAAGTACCTCCTCATCTTTGGGACCAACTGTCCCCAGGCCTAGCCACAAGCTAGGCCTCTCTGGTCTGCCATCCCCGCCCCAAGGGGTCAAATGGGAATGACAGTCTTATGAGCTAAAGGCTCGGGCTCAGGCACCTACCCTACCCTAGAAGGGTTAGGCATGGTGTCGATCTCTGTATGACTGATATAGCAGAAGCAAGGAGCCTGGCGCTTATATAGTAACGTCAGGTGTAGCAGACGAGGGCATAGTCACTGGCAGGCGGGATTCCCCAGTGGAAGTAGGTCCTTCCCAAAGAGATGGGTTAGTTGTAGCAGTAGTTGTCGTAGTCGTGAAGGTTATGTACATGTCCTCAGAATCAAGATTCCATGATGTTGCAGTGTCTGACAAGTTGTGCAAGAATGGTATATAATACCGACAAGATAAAATTAAGACACATGTGCAACATCTGGGTGTCTTTATTGTAGACGTTTCGCCATCCAGTGGCTTTATCAATACAAATTCTAGGACATAACTTGAAGACAGTAAGACTAACCCATCTCTTTGGGAAGGACCTACTTCCACTGGGGAATCCCGCCTACCAGTGACTATGCCTTCGTCTGGGTTGTGAAGTAAGAAGTTTGTCCGGTTTCCTGAGGAAGACAGTCCTCTTGGCCCTTAAAGCCGGAGAGGACATGACGGTAAAGCCTCGGTCAGTGAGAGTGGTGGTGGTTGCGGAGGTGAGTAACTTGTCACCCTCAACATCATGGTTGCACACGACAATGAAGGCGTCCTGGAGCGTCAGAATAGTGTTAAACTTCATTGCAAACTGCTCCAAACGGCAGCTGCAAGTGCAAATTTTGAGGAGTCGTTCACAATTCCACTGCAAGGTTTAATCTTAACACGATTTGAGTAGATCATTGTGGGAGTTTAAAGACGATAATAATGAAGGTAAAGGTTACCCTCCCCAGCGGGGATCCTAGGGAGACTAAAAGATGATCCTCAGAGCTACTGCGACTGCACACTCGGAGTGCAGTCTTTGACCCTACCTCTCCTTCTCATTGGGGAGGAGTTTGACCCTCCAGACCGTCAGGAGATCCTAGTCTATATCTGCACATTTTTGCTGGCTTCAGGGCGCATTGGAGACGTATAATACACACAGTTATTAGTCAACTTCCTTCCACTTTTGGTCGAGGTTCCTTTTCCGGACACTTCAAGGCAGGGTTCGATAAAGCGTACGTTGTCAGTGGCCCTATAAACCCCAACAACAACAACAGCAACAACAGAAAACTTTGCTGTCAGTGGCCCTAAAAACACCAAGAAGAAAAAGAAGAATTAAAACTTATAATAATAATATCTTTATTTCTACAAGTATAAGGTATATAGGTCTAGCTGACATCAATGACATACTACTATATAGAAAGCCGCTTGTTATGCTGAGCATTTCGGGCAAATTAGGTCAGTTTTGTCCCAGGATGCGACCCACACCAGTCCACTAACACCCAGGTATCCATTTTACTGATAGGTGAACATTGACAGCAGGTATCTTATGGAAACAGGTCCTAATGTTTTCCAGCCGTACAGCAGGTATCTTATGGAAACAGGTCCTAATGTTTTCCAGCCGTACCGGAGATTCAAACTCCGGACCTCAGTGTGTGAGCTGAGTGCGCTAGCGATCGATCTACGGGACACCTATATTGAAGTGATTAGTTGCATGTCTATTTAGATTACGTCAAGTAGAGAGGCGTTACAGCACTTCTATATAAATTATATTTAATGACAACCTAGGACTCTTTCATTCTTCTAAGACTGCAGGTGTTAGGTTTGTCAGGGTTACCAAGGACCCTAGTGGAAATAAGTCACTTTGGCCTTTTTGGTTAATCCTAGGTAATTTATACATGTTACTATGTATGATAATTTATGTAACTATTTATGTGTACCTGTACCGAAATAAACTTACTTTAGGTTATCCTAGGAAAAATTTCTACGTCATTTACTAGAAACTATCGTAGGTTTCAAATTATGTATGAAGTCTAAACAAAAACTCGCACGTGTGATGGTTGTTCTTTAGAGCTTCTTCATAGGTCACCAGCTGTGACCCACCTGTCCTGTCCCACAGCCCCAGAAGCTTTCATAGCTTATTTGTTCTCATACTCCTCAAAGCCATGTAGTCTATGAACTCAAGACAGGTCGTAATGAGCGAATGACAATGAATAAAAAAAATGGACAGGGACTCAAACCGTGGTCCTCATAGGTCACAGAAGTGCTGTCTGTGAGACCTTCCTGTTGCAAGCCTTGGACGTATGTACGTACGTATGTATGTATGTATATATGTTTGTTTGTACTTTGCTATATGTAGTTGAATGAGTCAGTTCACAGCTCCTGGCCCTGCCTTTTTGCTGGCCATTACTAGGTTCATGCTCTCTCTGCTCCAAGACCTTTATCATACCTCTTATGTATAAGAACATAAGAAAGGACAAACACTGCAACAAGCCTACTGGCCCATGCAAGGCAGGTCCAAGTCTCCTACTGGCTTAACCAAGTCAGGTCAGGTCGCATCCACTTAAGGAAGGAGCATGGCACCAGACCTACTAGCACAAGCTAATCAGGTCCAGCTCACACCCACCCACACTCGCTCATGTATTTATCTAACCTATTTTTAAAACTACACAACGTTTTGGTTTTTCTGACAGTTCTCAGGAGTTTGTTCCACTCATCCAAATGTATGTATGCATATTTATGTATATGTGTGTATGTGTATGCTTGTAATATATATATGCATATGTAAGTAAGTTTATTCAGGTATACACAAATACAGTTATGTAGAATTATCATACATAGCAGCATATGTGTAGAGAACCTGGGATAACCCAAAAAAGTCAGACAGTGACTTATTTCCATTGGGGTATGTATGTATGTATATGTATGTATGTATGTATGCATGTACGTATATATGTATGTATGTACTCACCTAATTGTGGTTGCAGGGGTAGAGTCAAAGCTCCTGGCCCCGCCTCTTCACTGGTCGCTACTGGGTCACTCACTCCCTGCTCTGTGAGCTTTATCATATCTCTTCTTAAAGCTATGTATGGATCCTGCCTCCACCACCTCACTTTCCAGATTATTCCACTGCCTGACAATTCTGTGACCGAAGAAATACTTCCTAACATCTCTGTGACTCATCTGAGTCTTCAGCTTCCAACTGTGACCCCTTGTCGCTGTGTCCCATCTCTGAAACATCTTATTTCTCTCCACCTTGTCGATTCCTTTCAGTATTTTATATGTAGTTATGTTCCCCTTGGCCCTCCTGTCTTCCATTGTCGTAAGGTCAATTTCCCTTAACCTCTCTTTGTAGGACATGTTCATTAGCTCCAGGACTAGTCTCATTGCAAACCTTTGCACTTTCTCTAATTTACTGACGTGCTTGCTCAGGTGTGGGATGCAAACTGGTGCTGCATACTCTAATATAGGCCTGACGTACACTCTGTACAGAGTCCTGAATGACTCTTTACTGAGATGTCGGAAAGCTATTCCTAGGTTTGCTAGTTGCCCATATGCTGCAGCAATTATTTGGTTGATGTGCACCTCTGGAGATATCTTCAGTACACATTATATTCACTCAAAGATCCTTTTCCTTGAGTGAGGTTTGTAGTCTCTGGCCCCCTAGGCTGTATTCTGTCTGCGATCTTCTTTGACCTTCCCCAATCTTCATGACTTTGTACTTGGTGGGGTTGAACTGCAGGAGGAGTTGTTAGACCAGGCCTGTAGCCTGTCCAGATACTTTTGTAATCCTGCCTGGTCCTCTGTCGACTGAATTCTCCTCATTAACTTCACATCATCTGCAAATAGCGACACTTCTGAGTCTGTTCCTTCTGTCATGTCGTTCACATAAACCAGAAACAGCACCGTTCCTAGAACTGACCCCTGTGGAACCCCGCTCGTCACAGGCGTCCACTCTGACACCTCGTTGCATATCATGACTCACTGTTGCCTTCCTGTTAGGTATTCTCTGATCCGTTGCAGTGCCTTCCCTGTTATACCTGCCTGGTCCTTCAGCTTTTGTACTAATCTCTTTTGTGGAACTGTGTCTAAAGCCTTTTTACAGTCCAAGAAAATGCAGTCTACCCATCCCTCTCTCTCTTGTCTTACTGCTTTCACTTTATCATAGAACTCCATGAGGTTTATGACACAGGATTTCCCATCCCTACTCCATGCTCGGCATTGCAGATAAGCTCATTCCTTTCTAGGTGCTCCACCACTCTTCCCCTGATAATCTTCTCCATGACTTTACATACTATGCATGTCAGTGATATTGGCCCGTAGTTTAATGCTACACGTCTGTCTCCTTTTTTAAAAATTGGGACTACATTTGCTGTCTTCCATACCTCAGGTAGTCACCCTGTTTCGAAAGATGTGTTAAAGATTGTTGTTAGTGGTACACAGAGTGCCTCTGCTCTGTCTCTCAGGACCCACGGAGAGATGTTATGTGGCCCCATCGCCCTTGAGGTATCTAGTTTGCTTAGCAGACTCTTCACCTCCTCCTCGGTTGTGCGTATCATATGTATGCATGTATGTATGCATGCATGTATCTATGCATGTATGTATGTATGCATGTATGCATGCATGCATGTATGCATGCATGTATGTATGTATGCATGCTTGTATGTATGCATGTATATATGTCTTATACAAAAAAATCTTGCAGTGCTGTATGCCCCTTGTGGGTTTAGCACTTAGTTTTGATTGTAATAACAAAATACCAAAGTTCTAAAGTAACCTGAGTCATTCACCGTTTTAATATGTAAAATATATTGGTAAGTAATTCCTGGCAAAAGTTTCTATTAAAAGAAGTGTAGTATGGAGATAGAAGAGAATGTGTTTTTGTACGTTAGTTTATATAATGATAAAAATGAGAAAATTTGGGTTTCTGCTGCTAATGAGAAAGACAATGACATTTATGTGGAATTTGAGCTAACATTTTAGTGATAAATTTGGCATAGCATAATAGGCTTATTTTATTGATGTATATGCAAAATTCCTTACATATTCAAGTATTTATTTAGTGATGGCTTGAAAACATTAATAGGATAATGATTTTTGAAGATATCTGCCAGTTATGATCAATATTGCTGCAGAGAAAAAAAGGTTCTGGTTTAGCACTACTCTATCTAAACCATTACATGTCTGTAAATAAATTAGAAATAACAAATAGTTTGCTTGTAATTGCACTGTTATTTTAATATATTTAACCTGCTTTTCAGATCTGTAATGGCAAAGATATTTGTAACACTTCATGGAATGAAGTCACTGCTGTATAAAATCCAAGGAGCCGGGCATTGGAAGAGACATTTTGCATCATCTCTACAAAAACCTTGTGAAGTGCGAGCTCGGTTTGCTCCAAGTCCTACTGGTAATGTGACCATGAAGCAATTTTCGCACAACTGGAATTAATATTTTTATGTATATTAGAGTATATAATATCTGCATCTTTTTCTTACATTTAAACCTAATCTTGTCTGGGGAAAGATGTTTTTATTCCTTCTGTATGATAGGTGTAAAACATTATTGATCCTGTATATGTCTGTAATGTAAGTCTACTGTATATTCTGCAGTCTTAATTTCTTACTGGGTCTACAGGAAACCTTCACTTGGGGGGCTTACGGACAGCTTTGTATAATTTCCTTTTTGCAAAATCGAACAAAGGGAAATTTATCCTAAGAATAGAAGACACTGACCAGACCAGATTGGTTCCACATGCAGCAAGAAAGCTTGAGAATATGTTATCATGGGCTAAAATATATCCTGATGAATCTCCAGTAGTTGGTGGACCATTTGGGCCTTATGTACAATCTCAGCGGCTTAGTCTTTACAATAATTATGTTAAAAATCTCCTAGAAAATGGGAGTGCATACAAGTGTTTTTGTACAAACATGAGATTGACCCGGCTACGGAATGATGCCATAAGAAGAAATGAAATTCCCAGGTATGACAACAAATGTCGATATCTTTCTCAATCCAAAATTGAAGAGCTGGGAAAAAATGGAACACCATATTGCATAAGGTTCAAGGTATGTCATATGATACAAAATTTCATAATTTGTTTTAAATTGTAAACTTCATTTGTAATAATACAATTTTAATTACCTAATATGAAATGTATTTATCATATTACATTTTAATTTAGAAATAGATAGTATCAGTAGTGTACTTTTCTATTAATGTTGTACAGTACAGTACGTCCACTTTGAATTTTTGGTGAGGAGTGTGTTACAAGGATAACTATGGATAAGAGAGATCCTGTAATATAAATTTTACAGTATACATTACAGCTACATAGTAATATTTATTAAATAATTTATGAATAATGAATTTTATTAATATGCATATTTTCCTTTTTGATGTTTTGTCTTCCTACACCATTACTATATTTGGAGCATTCACATGGGGTCATTACAGCCATAATTCACCTAGATGCTAATTTTTTTTTTTATTAACACATCGACAGATTCCCACCAAGGCAGGGTGGCCCGAAAAAGAAAAACTTTCATCATCATTCACTCCATCACTGTCTTGCCAGAGGGGTGCTTTACACTACAGTTATGAAACTGCAACATTAACACACCTCCTTCAGAGTGCAGACACTGTACTTCCCATCTCCAGGACTCAAGTCTGGCCTGCTGGTTTCCCTGAATCCCTTCATAAATGTTACTTTGTTCACACTCCAACAGCACATCAAGTATTGAAAACCATTTGCCTTCATTCACTCCATTCAAATACGCTCATGCATGCTTGCTGGAAGTCCAAGCCCCTCGCACACAAAACCTCCTTTACCCCCTCCCTCCAACCTTTCCTAGGCTGACCCCTACCCTGCCTTCCCTCCACTTCAGATTTATACACTCTTGAAGTCATTCTGTTTTATTCCATTCTTTCCACATGTCCGAACCACCTTAACAACCCCTCCTCAGCCCACTGGATAATAGTTTTGGTAATCCCGCACCTTCTTCTAATTTCCAGCTACAAATTATCTGCATTATATTCACACCACACATATTGCCCTCAGACATGACATCTCCACTGCCTCCAACCTTCTCCTCATTGCAACATTCATCACCCATGCTTCACACTCATATAGAAGTGTTGGTATAACTATACTCACATACATTCCTCTCTTTGCTTCCATGGACAAAGTTCTTTGTCTCCACAGACTCCTAAGTGCACCACTCACCCTTTTCCCCTCATGAATTTTATGATTCACCTCATCTTTCATAGACCCATCTGCTAACAAGTCCACTCCCAAATACTATCTGAATACATTCACCTCCTCCATACTCTCTCCCTCCAATTTGATATCCAATCTTTCATCTTTTGTTATCCTCATCACCTTACTCTTTCCTATTTAATCTTACTTTTTCCTATTTAATCCCTAAAATAGCAAAGCAAACTGTCAGTATTTACTTTGAGATACACACCTCTTCTTGTATATACACAAAGTTCATTTTACTTTAAGCTTTCTGCTTGTTGCTGTTATATACTTTATTAGACAGTATTAGCAAATACTCTATACTCTATGGATTTAGTGTAAATTAATGCTCAGTACATATATATTATGGTTTAGAATTTAAATTTAGTAATGGATATATTAAATAGGAATAAAGGCAATAAAATGCAGATGTTTCAATACTGGATACACATTTTAAGAGATCTTACTTTTCATCTTTTTTTTCCAACAGCTTGAAACAATAACAGAGCCATATGAAGATCTAATATATGGTTCAATTTTGTCTAATGTGGCTGACCATGAAAGTGACTTTGTGATAATGAAGACAGATGGATACCCAACCTATCACCTTGCTAATGTTGTTGATGATCATCTAATGGGAATAACTCATGTTCTGAGAGGTGTGGAGTGGCAGATATCAACACCAAAGCATCTCCTTTTATACAAGTAAGTTATGTACAGTATAGAGAAAAAGAAGCAAATAGAGAAGAGTTGTTTATATGTATAACATTTTACCCAGCATAGGGCTGCATCAAGTACATACAGTACTTGATATAGCCCAGATTAAGGACTTCATTTCATTGGTGTCTTTTCTATCACAGTTGACATCTTGCAATTCTCTCCATTAAAGTTATGTATGTTGACTGTAGGATATAGTGGTGTTGGTCACATTTTAAATTTTCTACAACAATTTGCCACATGGTGTATGTACTTTCACCCATCTTCAGTATTCTGTACATATAAAAGTATATACCCTAGGTAGTAGGTTGGTAGACATCAACCATCCAGGGAGGTACTACTGTCCTGCCAATTGAGTGTAAAATGGAAACCTGTAATTGTTTTACATGATGGTAGGATTGCTGGTATCTTTTTTCTGTCTCATAAACATGCAAGATTTCAGGTATGTCTTTCTACTTTTACTTACAATTAGGTCACACTACACATAGGCTAGGCAGCCAAAGACTGCAAACCTCACTCAAAGGGAAAGATCATGGGGTGAGTATAATACCGAGCACGTCTCCGGAAGCACACATCTACCAGATAACTTATGCAGCATATGGGCACCTGGCAAACCTGAGAATAGCATTCTGATACCTCAGTAAGGAATCGTTCAAGACTCTGTACACCATGTATGTCAGGCCCATGCTGGAATATGCAGCACCAGTTTGGAACTCACACCAGGTCAAGCTTGTCAAGAAATTAGAGAAAGTGCAAAGGTTTGCAACAAGGCTAGTTCCAGAGCTTAGGGGAATGTCCTATTAAGAAAGGTTAAAGGAAATTTGCCTGACGACACTGGAGGACAGGAAGGTCAGGGGAGTTATGATAACGACATACAAAATACTGTGAGGAATGGATAAAGTGGATAGAGACAGGATGTTCCAGAGAGAGGACACAGAAACAAGGGATCACAATTGGAAGTTGAAGACTCATAAGAGTCAAACGGATGTTAGGAAGTACTATTTTTTCAGTGATAGAGTTGTCAGGAAGTGGAATAATCTGGCAAGTGATGTAGTGGAGGCAGGAACCATACATAGTTTTAAGATGAGGTATGATAAAGCTCATGGAATAGGGAGAGAGAGGACCTAGTAGCGACCAATGAAGAGGCGGGGCCAGGAGCCGATTCTTGACCCATGCAACCACAATTAGGTGAGTACATGCATGTACAAGCATATATATACACACTCCCCTCTGGGTTTTCTTCTATTTCCTTACTAGTTCTTGTTCTTCCCATGGGGAAGTGGAACAGAATTATTCCTCCGTAAGCCATGCATGTCGTAGGAGGCGACTAAAATGCCAGGAGCAAGGGGCTAGTAACCCCTTCTCCTGTATACATTACTATATTTAAAAAGAGAAACTTTTGTTTTTCCTTTTGGGTCACCTTGCCTTGGTGGGTTGCAGCTGGTTTCTTGAAAAAAAGTATAATTTGTCTAATTTTTTATTTTCAACACGATGGCCATCTCCCACCGAGGCAGGGTGACCCAAAAAAGAAAAACTTTCACCATCATTCACACACACAATCACTGTCTTAGCAGAAACGTGCAGATACGACAGTTCAGATGTCACTTCAAACAGCAAATTTCCCAAACCTTTAAAGTGCAGACGTTGTACTTCCCATTGTATTTTTTGGTCTGACTTGGATTGACCATTGACAAGTCACACTGTGACTTGTCAATGGTTTGCTTCTCCTTTTGCATGTGTTTTACACAGTGTTTGCTTCTCCTTTTACATGTACTGTTGTAGTGAACACAGTTTCCCAGAGAGTTGACAGTCTGGTCTGATGCGTACCATTCATAGTACAGATGGCACTACTCTGAGAACCAGTATCTTCCAGAAACCAAACTATTAAAGCTAACTATTTTATTTTGTTTAATTATGTTAAATACCTAGGCCTTCTTGCTTGAGCCTATCTATTATCCATTCCTAGCAAGCAGGCTATGACAACAATTAATTATTAGATTTTTAGGTAATTGCCTTTTTTTCTCTCTAATTTCTCCTTCTTCTTTTTCCTTCCCCCTGACTTCAGCCTGAGTATGTTTTGGTATGAGGATCTCTGGACTCTAAACTGGATTTTGAGTATCTGCTGCATTTCACTATCTTATTAATTAAAATTCAATATTTTGGGTATTATCAATACAGAAATTTATTAAATATCTCTAATTACCTTGATTTGTGGAGTCATTAGCAAGACTTAATACAGTAAGTCTCTTAAGTGAAAGAGTTACCATCCAAGAAGATCATTTGTGTTTGGATCCAAGACTAAATCCAATGGAACATTATTCTTTACATGATGTTTTATGGGGGGATAACATAAGGAATTTGTATGAGTTTTTGATGTGTATGTACAGTGGACCCTCAACCAACGATATTAATCCGCTCCAGAGAGCTTGTTGTTAGTTGAATTTATCGTTAGTCAAATTAATTTTCCCCATAAGAAATAATGGAAATGCAATTAATCCGTTCCAGACACCCAAAAGTATGAAATTTTTTTTTCACATGAAATATACATTTTCCTACACAGAAAAAAAAGGATGCATGCACAATAAATACTGTACTAAATGAAGAACAAGTGACACTTACCTTTATTGAAAGGGGAATTCCCTTCCATAAGGACTTTAGGTACCAAGTCCTTTTCAGGGGTTACTTCTTTTCTTTTTTTAATACCACTGGGAACAACTTGAGAGTCACTGGACCTCTGTCGCACCAAAAATCTTTCCATAGAGCTCTGTACCTCGTGTTCCTTTAAGATTTTCCTAAAATGGGCCACAACATTGTCATTGTAAAAGTCACCAGCACGGCTTGCAATAGCTGTGTCAGGGTGATTTTCATCCATAAAGGTTTGCACGTCAACCCACTTTGCACAAATTTCCTTAATCTTTGAAGAAGGCAACTTCCTCCATTTCTCTCTCCCCTCCTCTGAAGCAGTTTCCTCAGTTGTGTCCTCTTGCTGTTGCAGATGCTCTTGCAGCTCATCAGTGGTTAGTTCTTCATTGTTGTCCCCCACCAACTCTTCCACATCCTCCCCACTAACCTCCAACCCCATGGACTTCCCCAATGCCACAATAGATTCCACAATTGGCATAGGCTTATCAGGGTTAGCCCCAAACTCTTCTACATATTGTGGCCACAATTTCCTCCAAGCAGAGTTCAAGGTCCTGTTAGTCACTCCCTTCCAAGCCTTACCTATAAGGTTTATGCAATTGAGAATACTAAAGTGAAGTTTCCAAAAATCTCTTAGGGTCAGTTGAGTGTCTGAGGTCACTTCAAAGCACTTTTGAAACATGCTTTTGTGTACAGTTTTTTGAAATTCGAAATGACCTGCTGGTCTATGGGCTGGAGGAGAGGAGTGGTATTAGGAGGCAAGAATTTCACTTTGATAAAACTCAAGTCCTCCGAAATTCACTCTAGCAACTCTGAAGGATGAGCAGGAGCATTGTCTAATACCAGGAGGCACTTAAGGTCCAATTTATTTTCCAGGAGGTAATTTTTCACAGTGGGGCCAAACACATGATAAAACCAATTACGTATAGAAAATGTCCCTAGTGACCCATGCCTTACTGTTTGCCCTCCACATCACTCACAAATTAGCCTTGACGACATTGTTTTTCTTGAACACTGGGAGTTTGAGTGATCTACCAGTAGAGACTTCACTTTGCAATCCCCACTAGCATTACTACACAACATTAAAGTAACCCTGTCCTTCATGGGCTTGTCTCCTGGGAGTGATTTTTCCTCCTGTGTAATGTACGTCCTGTTTGGCATTTTCTTCCAAAACAGGCCTGTTTCGTCACAATTAAACACTTGTTGGGGTTTTAATCCTTCGGCCTCTATGTACTCCTTGAATTCCTGCACATACTTTTCAGCCGCTTTTTGGTCCGAATTGGCAGCCTCACCATGTCTTACCACACTGTGTATGCCACTACAATTATTAAATCTCTCAAACCAACCTTTGCTGGCCTTAAATTCACTCACATCACCACCACTAGTTGCAGGCCTTTTTTTAATTAAATCGTCATACAACTGCCTTGCCTTTTCACATATTTGATTGAAAGATGCTGTCTCCTGATATCTGTTTTTCGTTTATCCACACCAATAACAGTCTCTCAACATCTTTGAGTACTTGCAATCTGTGTTTCGAAAACATACTTGCACCTTTCGCAACAACAGCTTCCTTGATTGCCTCTCTGTTGGCCAAGATAGTAGCGATGGTTGATTGGGGTTTGTTATACAACCTGGCCAGCTCAGAGACACGCACTCCAGTTTCATACTTTGTGATTATCTCCTTTTTCATTTCAATTGTAATTCTCACCCTTTTTACCACAGGTGGCTTATTTAGCAGTTACAAGCACTAAAAACACTGGAATAATACAAAATGTACCGAATGTATGCGTGGAAGCGACTGCACTGGCTTGTAAACATTGGCACACTAACTGAAGGCAGGGCAGCTAAGGCATGCTCAGGCCACTCGTGGACATGTTCAGGACGAATGATGTTAGTCAAGTTTTTCATCATTGGTTGGGCCAAAATTTTTACGCTAAAACGCTTCGTCAGTCGATTTTATCGTTAGATGATGCCTTCATTGGTTGAGGGTCCACTGTATGTTAGAGCACTTCGTGTAATTTATGTATACAATTGTTCCTACAAATTCTTGGGCTTTCTTATATTTTGATTATTCAATGTTTTAACTGCTGGGCAACCAATGAATGGATTCAGCTATCCAAAATGTTTCTGGTTGAATGACTTTCTCAGGTCCAAATCTATTTTTATTTGATCATTATTGTTCATGAATGTGAATATTATTTTATTTTTTTATTTTTTTATTATCACACTGGCCGATTCCCACCAAGGCAGGGTGGCCCGAAAAAGAAAAACTTTCACCATCATTCACTCCATCACTGTCTTGCCAGAAGGGTGCTTTACACTACAGTTTTTAAACTGCAACATTAACACCCCTCCTTCAGAGTGCAGGCACTGTACTTCCCATCTCCAGGACTCAAGTCCGGCCTGCCGGTTTCCCTGAATCCCTTCATAAATGTTACTTTGCTCACACTCCAACAGCACGTCAAGTATTAAAAACCATTTGTCTCCATTCACTCCTATCAAACACGCTCACGCATGCCTGCTGGAAGTCCAAGCCCCTCGCACACAAAACCTCCTTTACCCCCTCCCTCCAACCCTTCCTAGGCCGACCCCTACCCCGCCTTCCTTCCACTACAGACTGATACACTCTTGAAGTTATTCTGTTTCGCTCCATTCTCTCTACATGTCCGAACCACCTCAACAACCCTTCCTCAGCCCTCTGGACAACAGTTTTGGTAATCCCGCACCTCCTCCTAACTTCCAAACTACGAATTCTCTGCATTATATTCACACCACACATTGCCCTCAGACATGACATCTCCACTGCCTCCAGCCTTCTCCTCGCTGCAACATTCATCACCCATGCTTCACACCCATATAAGAGCGTTGGTAAAACTATACTCTCATACATTCCCCTCTTTGCCTCCAAGGACAAAGTTCTCTGTCTCCACAGACTCCTAAGTGCACCACTCGCTCTTTTTCCCTCATCAATTCTATGATTCACCTCATCTTTCATAGACCCATCCGCTGACACGTCCACTCCCAAATATCTGAATACGTTCACCTCCTCCATACTCTCTCCCTCCAATCTGATATTCAATCTTTCATCACCTAATCTTTTTGTTATCCTCATAACCTTACTCTTTCCTGTATTCACCTTTAATTTTCTTCTTTTGCACACCCTACCAAATTCATCCACCAATCTCTGCAGCTTCTCTTCAGAATCTCCCAAGAGCACAGTGTCATCAGCAAAGAGCAGCTGTGACAACTCCCACCCTGTGTGTGATTCTTTATCTTTTAACTCCACGCCTCTTGCCAAGACCCTCGCATTACTTCTCTTACAACCCCATCTATAAATATATTAAACAACCACGGTGACATCACACATCCTTTTCTAAGGCCTACTTTTACTGGGAAAAAATTTCCCTCTTTTCTACATACTCTAACTTGAGCCTCACTATCCTTGTAAAAACTCTTCACTGCTTTCAGTAACCTACCTCCTACACCATACACTTGCAACATCTGCCACATTGCCCCCCTATCCACCCTGTCATACGCCTTTTCCAAATCCATAAATGCCACAAAGACCTCTTTAGCCTTATCTAAATACTGTTCACTTATATGTTTCACTGTAAACACCTGGTCCACACACCCCCTACCTTTCCTAAAGCCTCCTTGTTCATCTGCTATCCTATTCTCCGTCTTACTCTTAATTCTTTCAATTATAACTCTACCATTACACTTTACCAGGTACACTCAACAGACTTATCCCCCTATAATTTTTGCACTCTCTTTTATCCCCTTTGCCTTTATACAAAGGAACTATGCATGCTCTCTGCCAATCCCTAGGTACCTTACCCTCTTCCATACATTTATTAAATAATTGCACCAACCACTCCAAAACTATATCCCCACCTGCTTTTAACATTTCTATCTTTATCCCATCAATCCCGGCTGCCTTACCCCCTTTCATTTTACCTACTGCCTCACGAACTTCCCCCACACTCACAACTGGCTCTTCCTCACTCCTACAAGATGTTATTCCTCCTTGCCCTATACACGAAATCACAGCTTCCCTATCTTCATCAACATTTAACAATTCCTCAAAATATTCCCTCCATCTTCCCAATACCTCTAACTCTCCATTTAATAACTCTCCTCTCCTATTTTTAACTGACAAATCCATTTGTTCTCTAGGCTTCCTTAACTTGTTAATCTCACTCCAAAACTTTTTATTATTTTCAACAAAATTTGTTGATAACAGCTCACCCACTCTCTCATTTGCTCTCTTTTTACATTGCTTGAATATTAACCTGATTTAAATGAGATGTTACGGTTTCTGAAACACAATAATAATCCAAATCTGAAAACATTCATTTTGCAGACTTAGGTAGTTTCATATTATTTGATATTCTGGTTTCATGGGGCCTTTAGGAATGTAACCCTCCTTGCAAAATTTTTAGTAATACAGTTGAATAATTGAACAGATTTTGAAAGAGACACTAAGTTTGCATTGAAACTTTTATTAATAAAAAATTCACTGTAAACATAGTGTCTTTTTCACTATACAGTGGACCCCCGACATTCGATGGCATCAACATTCGATAAATCTGACATTCGATGCATTTTAATGCAAAAATTTCACCTCGACATTCGATGGAAAACCCGACATTCGATACGATTCGTACGAGACGTGTCCACATGTGGCCTGAACTGCCCCGTGTGTGCCAGTGTTTACAAGCCAGCCAGTGTGCGCGCATCTAAGGATACATTTGGTACATTCCATATTATCCATATTATCACTGTTTTTGGTGCTTGTTTCTGCAAAATAAGTCACCATGGGCCCCAAGAAAGCTTCCAGTGCCAACCCTGTGGTAAAAAGAGTGAGAATTAGTATGGAAATTAAGAAAGATTTTGAAGGGTTTGGGGCTAACCCTGAGAAGCCTATGCCAGTTGTGGACTCTGTTGTGCCTACTTCAAAAATTAAGGAAATGTGTGCAAAGTGGGTTGAACTGCAAACCTTTATGGATGAAAATCACCCTAACACAGCTATTGCAAGCCGTGCTGGTGACTATTACAATGACAATGTTATGGCCCATTTTAGACAAATCTTAAAGGAATGGCGACAGAGGTCCAGTGACTCTCAAGCTGGTCCTAGTGGCATTAAAAGAAGAAGGGAAGTAACCCCGGAAAAGGACTTGCTACTTCAAGTCCTAATGGAAGGGGATTCCCCTTCTAAACAGTAACAACTTCGACACTCTCCCCTCCTCCCATCCCATCATTCATCACCATTAAAGGTAAGTGTCAATTATTCTATTGTTATTGTTGTTATTGTAATTATTCTATTGCATTAAACTTAATATTTCATGTGGTAAAATTTTTTTTTTCATACTTTTGGGTGTCTTGCACGGATTAATTTGATTTCCATTATTTCTTATGGGGAAAATTAATTCGACTTTCGATATTTTCAACATTCGATAGCACTCAGGAACGGATTAGTATCGAATGTCAAGGGTCCACTGTATGTAGTTCTTATCTAGTCATCCTACAGTGTTGAAACAGAACTTTCCCACAGAGCATTTGGCTGGAGTGCTCCATTATTTGGGCACCTTCCTCTTATAGTAAATCAAGATGGCAGCAAGCTTTCCAAACGGCAACATGATCTCCACATTGAGTATTATCAAGACCAAGGATACTTTCCAGAGGCTGTACTTAACTTTGTGACTGACATTGGTGGAGGATTTGATGACAGGGAACATGGTGTTGTTTTGTCTATTGAAGACTTATTAGAGAAGGTAAATCTATGATGTAATTTGTTTTTGTACAATATAATGCAATATACAGTGTAATGAAAATTAAAACTTTAAATATGGTAATGTTATGAATGTGTAAACTAAAAAAAAAATTTTTTTCTTTTTTATATTTGGGAAAGTGCTAAATCTAGGTGGATTATTCAGCTATTGTAGTACAAAGCTTTAATGAGGACTGTAATTCACCACTAATGAAAAAAAATTTGTCCTCAGAAGGGTTACTATGATTTTGAAAGGGTTATTATAACTGTAGTGTAGGCATGCCTCTGGCAAGACAGTGATGGAGTGAATGATGATGAAAGTTTTTCTTTTTCGGGTCACCCTGCCTTGATAGGAAATGGCCGATGTGTTAATAAAAAAAAAAATATTATGAACTTTGTATCCATAGAACTTGTATTTGTTCATTGATCTGCAGAACTTTGCTGTGTTGTCAGTCTGCCAGCAGTGTTGACTTTGCATTGGAATGGGTTGCAGATCGGTATTAGCTAACCACTTACCTGCCCTATATCTATACTACTATATTATCTTTGATAAGGAGTGGAAGTCACATGTGATTTTGCCAAATTGCTCGTTTTTTATGATAGAGGAAGTGGATGTGATTACCATATTCTATATATACTATATAAGATCATAAATAATGTGTAAGAAAATTATTTATTTTTTTATTAACACATCAGCGAAACTTTTGTTTTTCCTTTTGGGCCACTCTGCCTCGGTGGAATATGTCCGGTTTGTTGAAGGAACTTAAACACTAGATTGGATACTACAAGCATAGCTCTATCCATGTATAGTAACAACAAATAGGTGTCTAAGAAAAGGAGCAAGCCTTGGAGCTCCAAATATCAAGAATATCTCCTACACTCTGTAAAAAATTGAGTGAAGAAAGCAGACACTGCTACTGGCACAAATTAAGTTATTTAAAGAGATTGACAATGGTAGAAGTGCCATCCACTAGCATCATCTTGAGGAGTATCCTGTATGTACACACCTCCCCTTACTTGGATGAAATCTGATTACCTCTCATTCCCCAGGAGCTATATAGCCTCTGAAATTTGCACTTTCTCATGAATATAATAAGAATAATTATAATATTATCACAATGTGAACTTGGTTGCGTAATTTATAGAAAGTGATTGCATAGCCAACTGATAAGAAGAGTGCAATAAGTTTATCATCAGATTCTTCTCAGGCTGTATTTTGTCAAAAAAATTGCAACCATGTCTCAAAATTGAAGGTATATTCAGATGTCAATGTGGGCCAAAGAGGATTTTTTTTAGGCTCATGTGAAAATGCATGTAGATGGAAGAAAAAGTGGTAGATGATTGGACTGGCTGAATGATGGGGAACAGTCACTGAGGTTTTTCCAGAGTGAGAAAAATAACAGGCCTAGTCATTACATGCCCTATGAGTCCCTAGAAAAGTATGTAAATATATGCATGTAATGTACAGTAATCAGTAATTGGACCCTGAATTCAGTATAACATTTGTGGGGTACTGGCTGCCTGTAGGAAGCACCCCACACTAAAAAGCCCCGTGAATAAAATATTCGTGTAAGCTAGTGCAAAGACCTCCTTTCTGCAATGTGTGTTTCAGCCTGGACACCCAACCTTCCAGCACAGGGATGGGTATAGAGTGCATAATAAAACTATAAGCATCAGCATAGGTGAACCCACCAGTGATTGGAATCAGCACTTTATACCATGCTGGCTTTTCACCAGCAGGTAAAGTAGCAGGGAAGTTCTTATTTAGTGTTCCTACCTAAGTAGCTGTCTCAAGGATGATAGAGTAAAATATGATGAAAGTTCATTGGATTTGCCATTTTATATTGCTCATGCAAGAATATTGCCTGAGATAAAGTTCAGCAGGAAAACTATCATATATAGAACAATTTCATGTTTATTCACAGAAAGGTTAAATATACAGTATGTACATACAATAAATATGTGGGAGACAAGCAGTTTTAGCCATTGGCATGAAACTGAATTTCAGGCACTCAGGATAAGTGCCCTTGGATCTGGTTAGGAGCTGGAGGGGTAATCACACTGACACCATGGATATTCCCTGCATTATGGGGTATACCATGCTATTTACATTAAATGTGTGATACATAGATCTATAATTATTTTAAATCATGGGATAGTGATTTGTTCTTCATTGTAAAACAATAGACTAATGAAATCTTTTGTATGTGTATTTGTACATGACACATTCAGACTTATACATATGTGACTTGCATCTATTTTATTTCAAGGATTTTTTTATTTTATCTTCATGTAAACTACTTTCAGTTTAACCTCTCCCGACTCACCAAAAACTCCTGCCGATTGGACAAAGATAAGTTGGAACAGTTTAATCAACTGGATCTTCAGAGACGGTTAAATAGTCCAACTGACATACTATTACTAATTTCCCAGCTCCATGATCTTGTCCAAAAAACTTATGGAGAGAGGTAGGCTGTAAAATTATAAATCTTTGATGCAATTAAATTAATAATTCTGGTACTTCATACTGTATGCAGTTTCCTCTTTTTAGACTATTGATTCAAGAATAATTTCTTTGCAAAAAAATGGTCCCTTTTTTTCTTCTCACCCTAGCCCTCTTCCACCAAAATCACTGAATCAGTTTAAAATAATAAGTCATACTTCTAAAACTGTACCATTTGTTCATTAGTTACCTTTCTTATTGTGCATATTATTGTAGTTAAATGCATAAGAAATCCTGCTTATTAGTCTTGTCTAATTCCTAATTAGTCTTTAAGCATGAGGATTAGTTTGCCTGAAATGCATTGCATACTAGTGGTTTCCTCTTGTTTCTAACATTGTTGTATTACCTGTAAACTATGTTATTTTTGTACTGCATAAAAAGAAATGAAAAACCTAAATTGATATAAATGTACTGGAAAACGTACAGAGGAGGATGACAAAGCTGATCCCATGTATCAGAAATCTTCCCTATGAGGATAGACTGAGGTCCCTGAATCTGCACTCTCTAGAAAGGCATAGAACTAGGGGGGATATGATTGAGGTGTATAAATGGAAAACAGGAATAAATATAGGGGAGGTAAATAGCGTGCTGAAAATATCCAGTCAAGACAGGACTTGCAGCAATGGTTTCAAGTTGGAAAAGTTCAGATTCAGGAAGGACATAGGAAAGCACTGGTTTGGTAATAGAGTTATGGATGAGTGGAACAAACTCCCAAGTACTGTCATAGAAGCTAAGACCTTGTGTAGTTTTAAAAATAGGTTGGATAAATATATGAGTGGGTGTGGGTGAGTGTAAGTTGGACCTGACTAGCTTGTGCTACCAGGTCTGGTGCCGTGCTCCTTCCTTAAGTGGAAGTGACCTGACTAGGTGGTCATTGTTCTAGGCCGGGGGGTGGCATGGACCTGCTTCACACGAGTCAGTAGGCCTGTTGCAGTGTTCTTGTGTTCTTATGTTCAAGGTTTGTTATGCTGAAAATTTCATATTATTCTATTTTTCTAGTTTCATGGAATCTCTAGGGATGGCTATGTTGTAAATATCACTGCAGATATCACTGTTACTGCTATCTGGAGTGCAGTACTACTGTTTTATACAATATCAATAAATTCTTGACTTAAGGAACCTCAGTTTAACAGACTCTGGAAATATGGAGCAACATCTGCTGGCTCACTTGATAGGGAAATAATAGGTAAAGTTTGTTATTTATGGAACAGTTATTGTAACTACCATGGCTGAACATTCTCTTGTTTGACCACCACAGCTGCCATTACCAGCCACCTGTATCCCTACTTGTCTGTTAACTCTAGGCTTTACAACTCCCAGGTAGGATATACCTGGATTATACCTGGAGGGGGTTTTGGGGGTCAATTCCCCCATGACCCAATCCCTGACCAGGCCTTGTGGTGGATCAGGGCCTGATCAACCAGGCTGTTATTGTTGGCTACATGTAGACTGACCAGCTGGGCTGGTCAGTACCTGACCGGCCCAGCTGGTCAGGTACTGACTTCAGGGTCACAAAAAATTAAACATTCAGTACAATTACTTACCTCCCTAGCTGTCCTATCAAAAACGTGTGGACATCACAATTCAAATAACCCTCTGAACAACAGTATCCCCTCCTCTCCTTCAGAGTGCAGATGTTGTACTTTCCACCTCAAGGACTCACTTGTCTCCACACATTTTGATTTAACACCCTTCACACAGGCCTATTAGATACTCAAGCCTGTACCATTTAGAACCTAATTCATCCTTTCCCTCCTACCCTTCCTGGAATGACCTATGCCTCCTTCCCTCTAACCCAGATTTATACACCCTCTTTGCTATCCTTTTCTGCTGCACTCTATCTAAATGGCCAAACCACCTCAATAACCTCTCCTTTGCTCTTTTAATTGTACCTTTAGTACGCCCATATACTCTAATTTCTGTGTTTCTTATCCTCTGCTCTCAAACATGACATCTCCACTAAGTCCAGCTTCCTCACTGCAACATATAAAGACAGTGTCTCACACCCATATAAGAGTGTTGGTGTCAGTATACTCTGATATAGTCCCCCTTTTGTTTTCATAGATAAACTGTACTTTCCATCTCCAGGATTCAAGTCTGGCTAGCCAGGTTCTCTGAATCAGTTCATAACTGTTACCTTGCTCACACTCCAACAGCACGTCCAATCGTGAAAACCTCATCCCTCCACTCATTCCTATCTAACATCCTCACACAAGCCTGTTGGATGTCCCAGCCCCTGGAACTCAAAACCTCCTTTACCCACCTTCCACCAGGGGTAAAGAAATAACTGGAAGTAAGAGTTGTATGTAACTGTCTAACTACTTGTAGTATTGCCGAAGTGTACACCATTACCCCTGCACCAAGTGACTGACATTTGTGCATGGGTGAGTAATGGGTAGTAAGTCAGCTGGCTACACACAGGTTAGAGGTCTTTGGCCTCTCACACTAACACTAGCCCACACATGCACATACACACACACATGCACACACACACACACACACACATGCACACACACACACACACACACACACACACACACACACACACACACACACACACACACACACACACACACACACACACACACACACACACACACACACATGCACACACACACACACACACATGCACACACACACACACACACACACACACACACACACACACACACACACACACACACACACACACACACACCACACACACATGCACACACACACATGCACACACACACATGCACACACACACACAGACACACACACATGCACACACACACACAGACACACACACATGCACACACACACACACACACAGTTCAGACATTGAGGACATCACTTACGAGAGGCCCCTTGGAGCTAGCGATCACGTGGTTCTGAGTTTTGACTATATAGTAGAGTTACAAGTGGAGAAGGTAACAGGAACTGAAGGGGACAGGCCAAACTATAAAAGGGGGGACTACACAGGTATGAGAAACTTCCTGCAGGAGGTTCAGTGGGACAGAGAAATGGTAGGAAAATCAGTAAACGAGATGATGGAATATGTGGCAACAAAGTGCAAGGAGGCAGAGGAAAGTTTTGTTCCCAAGGGAAACAGAAATAATAGGAAGACCAAAACGAGTCCTTGGTTTACCCGAAGGTGTAGGGAGGCAAAAACTAAGTGCAACAGAGAATGGAAAAGGTACAGGAGGCATAGGACCCAGGAAAACAAGGAGATTAGTAGAAGAGCCAGAAACGAGTATGCACAGATAAGGAGGGAGGCCCAGCGACAGTATGAAAACGACATAGCATCGAAAGTCAAATCTGACCCGAAACTGCTGTATAGCCACATTAGGAGGAAGACAACAGTCAAGGACCAGGTGATAAGGCTGAGGAAAGAAGGTGGAGAACTCACAAGAAACGATCAAGAGGTATGTGAGGAGCTCAACACGAGATTTAAGGAAGTATTTACAGTAGAGACAGGAAGGACTCTGGGGGGACAGACCAGATGGGGACACCAGCAAGGAATACACCAAGAAGTGTTGGACGACATACATACAGATGAGGAGGAGGTGAAGAAACTGCTAAGGGACATCGATACCTCAAAGGCAATGGGACCGGACAACATCTCCCCGTGGGTCCTTAGAGAGGGAGCAGATATGTTGTGCGTGCCACTTACCACAATCTTCAACACGTCCCTGGAAACTGGGCAACTGCCTGAGGTATGGAAGACGGCAAATGTAGTACCCATTTTTAAAAAAGGAGACAGAAAAGAGGCACTAAACTATAGACCTGTGTCATTGACGTGTATAGTATGCAAAATTATGGAGAAGATTATCAGGAGGAGAGTGGTGGAGCACCTGGAACGGAACAAGAGTATAAATGCCAACCAGCACGGATTCACGGAAGGCAAATCCTGTGTCACAAACCTTCTGGAGTTTTATAAATAAAATAACAGAAGTAAGACACGAGAGAGAGGGGTGGGTTGATTGCATCTTCTTGGACTGCAAGAAGGCCTTTGACACAGTTCCTCACAAGAGATTAGTGCAGAAGCTAGAGCATCAGGTGCATATAAAAAGGAAGGGCACTGAAATGGATCAGAGAATACCGACAGGGAGGCAACAACGAGTCATGGTACGTAATGATGTATCACAGTGGGCACCTGTGACGAGCGGGGTCCCACAGGGGTCGGTCCTAGGACCAGTGCTATTTTTTTGGTATATGTGAACGACATGACGGAAGGGTTAGACTCAGAAGTGTCCCTGTTTGCAGATGATGTGAAGTTAATGAGGAGAATTAAATCTGATGAGGACCAGGCAGGACTTCAAAGAGACCTGGACAGACTGGACACCTGGTCCAGCAAATGGCTTCTCGAATTTAATCCTGCCAAATGCAAAGTCATGAAGATAGGGGAAGGGCACAGAAGACCACAGACAGAGTATAGGCTAGGTGGCCAAAGACTGCAAACCTCACTCAAGGAGAAACATCTTGGGGTGAGTATAACACCGAGCATGTGTCTGGAAGCACACATCAATCAGATAACTGCTGCAGCATATGGGGGCCTGGCAAACCTGAGAACAGCATTCCGATACCTTAGTAAGGAATCATTCAAGACACTGTACACCGTGTATGTCAGGCCCATACTGGAGTGTGCAGCACCTGTTTGGAACCCGCACTTGATAAAGCACGTCAAGAAACTAGAGAAAGTACAAAGGTTTGCGACAAGGTTAGTTCCAGAGCTAAGGGGAATGTCCTATGAAGAAAGATTAAGGGAAATCGGCCTGACGACACTGGAGGACAGGAGGGTCAGGGGAGACATGATAACGACATATAAAATACTGCGTGGAATAGACAAGGTGGACAAAGACAGGATGTTCCAGGGAGGGGACACAGAAACAAGAGGCCACAATTGGAAGTTGAAGACACAAATGAGTCAGAGAGATAGTAGGAAGTATTTCTTCAGCCATAGAGTTGTAAGGCAGTGGAATA